GTATTATTTTAAAGGATTTAAAAATAAGATATTAGATGATTAATGTCATATATGTATGCAATTATATTACTTTAATGAATTTAAAATTTGCATTTGTTGGGATTAAGGTGTAAAAGGTTGAAGGTTTATTGATTTTGACTGATTTTGTATGTGAAAAAGAATGAAAAATTGGGAAGAAATGTAAGAAGGAGGTTGGGAAAAAGGAATGTTTTTGAAGTCAATGTTTTTTTTAATCTTTTTGGATTAGTAAAATGTTTGTCAGAACTTAGGATGATTAAGGATATATATAAATATAATTGTATTATTTTAAAGGATTTAAATAAGAAAAATAAGATACTGGATGATTAATGTTATATATGTATGCAATTATATATTTTAAAGAATTTAAAATCTGTATTTACTGGGATTAAGATATTTGAATGATTATAAGAGAAATGGTAGAGTTTACATTTTTAGATGTTTGGATTTGGGGAAGATGGATAATTTTGTTTTGAGTTTTGAGTTAAAATGGAGTTTAATTTTTGTTTTTTGTTTTTTAATTATTTGAGTTAAATTTTTTTTTTTAAACTGATTGCTATATGAGGTGTTGAAACCTGTTTTAGTTCTGGGAAGTCGGGGAGGGGAGGGGTTTAAGGGGAAATTATAAATTGATGTAGTAAATAATTATAAGTATATAATGGAATTGTAATAATAAGAGGATGTTCCCGGCAGGTTCCCCAAATTGCACTCGATCTGGTGGTTAGAAGGCGAAAGGGATGTAGAGTGGTAGGAGGAAAGAGGAGAGGTTGTGGGGTTAGGGGGAGGAAAGAGAGGGAAAGTGGGTAAGGGTGGAGGCAAGGCGGGGACTGCCGGGAGTATTCGGAAATATTTTGAGTAAAAATCTTTTTTCTTTTGTGGTGTTTGTAGATGCATCATTTGTATTTGTTGTTTAATTCAAAATAATAAAACATTTTATATATATATAAAAAAAAAAAGAGCATCAAGCAAATGATGGTCAGTTCAAATGAGCCAATCCCCAGGTGTTAAGTCCGCTGTGGGAACAGAGCGGATAACTGAGCCCGTTCCCATACCTGTGAAGACATTGTTGGGTCTTCGCACCTTTCTCTTCCGCAGCAAGAGATAAGCCAGATGGTCGGAAGCACATTCCTTTCTCACCCCGAATTGACATCAAGGGGAAACAGTTCAAAGAGCAAGCAGATAGAAAGACAGAGAGGATACATTGTGCCCAAGCAAAAGCATCTGATAGGGCCTCCCCCCCCTCAGGAGAATGACAATACCCATAGAAAGAAACAGAAAAAGGACAGAATCCAATACCCCCCCAACAAGGAAATGGATTTTGACAGTTCTCTGCTATTGTGCAACTAAAAATTACTTGATTGGAATGTTTGGGTTTTTCTTTTACAATAATGCTCTTTTTAGCTGTTGCTTACAAACCATGTTTTAACTCTATTCTTCTGTATTTATTTAAATATATTTAAATACTTCTGCATTTTTAAAGATATTTATTGGCTCTATTCAGTTTTCACAAATTGTTTGCTCAAATGAGACTTTGGGGGCTCTTGCTGACCTCCATAGCAATTGCAGGTGAAGAGAGACAGAATAACGCAACTGGTGTTGTTAAGTGAGCCAGTGGGACCCCATAATTAGATTTCAGATGACAACTGGATAAATCTGAGATCAAAACTCCATTAAGCCACAAAGTTCACTGCTGATCTTGGACCAAGTTTCCACTCGCAGCCTAAATTCCCTCACTGGACCATGGTATACATCAGTCTTTCTCAACCTCAGCAACTTTAAGATGTGTGGACTTCAACTCCCAGAATTCTAGCTGGCTGGGGAAATCTGGGAATTGAAGTCCACACACCTTAAAGTTGC